AGTCAAATATCATTGTCTTGTATTGGTCCTAAATAAATAGGGATAACTTCTCGTGTTGGAATACTAATTATAGGTTTTGTCAAAATTCTAGTTGTATGTAATAATTAGTTGGTTGACGTTTACTTTGACATAGAAAATATTACATAAAATAGTTGTCACTTTTTAAGATTTGTGTATGTCATGTACAAAGTAAGTTGTCATATATACAATACTTGTCACTTTTTAAGATTCTTGTGTATAGTCGTGAGAAGTGAGTTGTCATATCTTAAAATTCCTGAAGGATGCATTTTAAGTCTACTCCGCATCAAGTCAATATTGAAACAAGTTTTTATTAAGTCAAATATCATTGTCTTGTATTGGTCCTAAATAAATAGGGATAACTTCTGTCTAAATTTGGCAATTCAAGAAGAATTTAGAGAAATATTTACAACGTAACGAGTGAGTAATAATTTCTAACACACAAAAGAGTTAAAAAAAAATATAATTGCTGGATTATTTCCTAGTTCATAATTACAACATTTTTTTTGTGAGACACCTGTATGTTAACTCTATTAAGAAAATTATTAAGGTAGTAAGATTGAAAGATGACTTATGGATGGTTGCTAGAGCTGCGTATGAAGATGATTTTAGGGATCGGACGGAAGGGATAGAGATTAAAAATTGTACGTTAAATTAACTAGCTGTAAAAGACTTAAATGGAGTAAATCACATTTCTCCATCTTCTCAAAGTGTGTTATGTTATTGAAAAATTCATGCGAATTCTTCAACAACTACGTACTAGATACTAGGAAATTGCTTATTTTAATTGTAGCGAAATTACATTATAAACTAATGGGAAAGCTTCACACAAGGAGAGATTTGATGAAAAAGCACAATGGGAAGCTTTGTCCAAAGATAGAGGAGAAATTTCAGCAGCTTGTTTCGTCTTGTTCTTATCTATAGCAAGTATGCAGATAGACAATTTATGATGGACATAAAACGGGATGTGTGTAGATAGTGTGACATTAGTGGAATTCGATGTGTTCATGAATTGATTTCCATACTCAAAGAGGAAGATAAATTTGTGAGGTTGATTTCTCATTCGTATATAGTTGACCCTTAGTCAAATGATCTGTTTAGAATAAGAAACTCTATTTCTATTCCATCGAAAGCAATCAATTTGTATAAAGAAAAAAAGACGCACGAGATTTATAGATATTTGATTGTCTAAATGTGAGATTATATACTCTTCCGTTATTCACTATGCTGAAAAGAATGTATATAAAAAAATAAAAATCGTACACCCTATCTTCTCCCCCCCCCAACAATTTTTATATATTCTAATTTTATCCACATACTATATATATGAGGAGCAATATTATTTATGATATAAATGTTTGAAATTAAACTTGATTCATGAGTGTGGAAAATTAAATTTGATACATCAATTAGTTTATTTAATATTCATGTATTTATTTTATTCATGTATTTACATGGTTCTTTGTATTCTATTATTCATTGTATGTAGGAGAAGTCATTAATTAGTCTCTTGATTTTATACAATGTTTTTGGGACCCTTTGTACCTATAAAAGGCCTTGTGCTTGAGACATTTCATATAGTTAAGCCATAAAATACATATATCTTTCTATAAATTTATATGTTTTTCTCTAGTTTTTCTTCCCATAATTATTTAATTCCATCAAAGTGATGTCAGATCCACTTCAAAAGATGAATAGTTTATTTCCTTTTGTTTCTCCCAAACTTACAAAGAAAAATTATGGACATTGGAGCATATGCATGGAGGCATTGCTTGACTCACGGGAGGTATGGAAAGTTGTAGAAAAAGGCTATAATGAACCAAAGAATGAAGGAGCTTTAAGTCAAGTTCAAAGAAATACCATGCAAAGGAAACCGCAAGTCAGATCAACAAGCTCTCTATATTATTCACATAGGCTTAGATAAAGCCATGTTCGAGAAAGTTTCTTCATCAACAAACGCTAAGGAAACTTGGGAGATTCTCGAGAACAATTTCAAGGGAATTGAAAAGGTGAAGAAAGTTCACCTTCAAATCCTTCATAAGGAGTTTAAATATCTACACATGAAAGAGACGGAATATGTCTTTGACTATTTCATAGAGTATCCTTCATTGTCAATCATATGACGCGATAGGAAAATGTTGAAAAAAGTCGATCATCGAGAAAATTCTTAGATTGTTTGACTCAAAACTCGAGTTTGTTAGTATTTCCATTGAAGAGTCAAATAACTCAGATACCATGACCCTTGATCAACTCATGGAGTCCTTGCAAGCATATGAAGAAATATTGAAGAAGAAAGGAGAATCGATGGCTCAAGTTCTCCAAACAAATGTATCTTTGGGAGATGAAAACAAAGAGCAAGGATGATCTCAAATAAGAGGTCAAATTCATTGTCATGGAGGAAATTATAATCGTGGTAATGGAAGAAATCGTGGAAAACAAAATTTGAATAATGAAGGATCAAGCAATCAATCGAGAGGGCGAGGTCGTTGGAACTATGGTTCCAAGAGATGTGACGGAAGAATGTATGACAAGTCCAATGTTACACTTCTCATAAATATGGTCACTATGCTTTTGAATGTAGGAGTGACAACACCAATAATGAAGAGAGTGTTAATTAAGTTGAAGCAAAAGAAGATAAAGAATTGTTGTTGTTGCTGGCAACTAAAGAATAAAAGGATAAACGATTGTGGTATCTTGACATTGGCGTCGCCAATCACATGAGTGGCAACAAGTAGTTGTTCTCAACAATAAATGAGTCGGTGAAAGACAATATTATTTTTGGAGATAAAACCAAAGTTCCAATAAAAGGCAAAAATGATGTTCTTATTCGAGCTAAAATTGGAAGTCATCTTTCGATTTCTCAAGTTTATTATGTACCTACTTTGAAGTCTAACATTTCGAGTTTGGGACAATTACTTGAGATGGGCTATGATATTCATATGAAGAATTTTGCCTTACTTTGAGAGATGTTATCATAATCTGATTGTAGAGATACCAATGGAGAAGAATAGAATGTTTTTGCTCAATATTAATGTTGACCACCCAAGGTGTTTAAAGGCTTGTGCCAAAAACAATTCTTAGCTTTGGCACTTAAGATTTGGCCATTTGAATTTTGGTGACTTGAAGTCATTGATGAAAGAAAAATGGTGAATGGGTTGCCGAAAATCAATCATTTCAATCAACTTTATGAAGGATATCTAGTTGGCAAGCAAACTAGAAGAAGCTTTCCAATGGAATTCACCTCAAGAGCAACAAAGTTACTCTAACTTGTTCATGCGGATGTGTGCGGGCCAATTAACCCACTCTCTCATGGTAAAGCAAATTATTTCTTGCTATTTATTGATGATTTTTCTCGCAAGACTTGGGTTCATTTTTATGAAGACGAAAGATGAATTTTTTGGAGCATTCAAAAAATTCAAAGATCTTGTTGAAAATGAGAATGGCAACTTCATCAAAGCGTTAAGGACCGATCAAGGTGGAGAATTCACTTCCAAAGAGTTGTAACAACTTTTTTTATACCAATGAAATCGGGCATTTCCTCACAATTCCAAGATTGTCACAACAAAATGGTGTCATGGAGCAGAAGAATAGAACCATCCTCAACATGGTTCATAGTATGCTTAAGAGTAAGAGTATGTAGGAGTTTTTGGGCCGAAGCTGTTGCGTGAGTTGTGTATTTGTCTAATCTTTCCCCGTCGAAGAGTGTTCACGACATAACTCCAAAAGAAGCTTGAAGCGGTAAGAAACCTAGTGTTTCTCACTTATACATTTTTAGCAGTATTGCCTATATTTATGTACCAGATGAGAAGATATTAAAACTTGATGAGAAAAGTGAGAAGTTTGTTTTCATCGATTATGATCTAAGCTCCAAAGGCTACAAGCTTTATAATAGAGATGCGGAATACGACGAAGGAAGCTCATGGGATTGAAAGTTCTGAAAAATGAAGAATACGTGATTTTTCCTTTCCAAGGAGACTCTAGCCAAGAAACAAGTGAAGATGCTACTATACCGCATTCTCCTACTCCTTAATTTCCTCATGATAGTCCTTCTGAAGGAAATCTTGTAGAGATTTATGAAGAAACTGAAATGGTTGATAATTCATCTTTTTTTGTCCTTTTGCTAATAACGAGCCGTTGAACTTTGAAGAGGCAATAGAAGGCAATAAATGGAGGCATGCTATGGATAAAGAGATTCGAGCAGTAAAAAAAGAAAAATACATGGAAGCTAGTTTCTCTTCCTGAAGGAAAAAAGCAATTGGAGTGAAATGGGTGTACAAAGTGAAGAAAAATGTTCGAGGAGAAGTGAAAAAATACAAGACAAGACTTGTTGCCAAAGGCTATAGGCAAAAGTATGGCATTGACTATGATGAGATCTTTGTCCCTGTTGCTTGCTTGGAAACCATTCAATTAAATATTTCCTTGGCAGCTCAAAATAAGTGAAAAACTTATCAAATGGACTTCAAGTCCGCTTTCTTGAATGGATATAATGAAGAAGAAGTGTACATTCAACAACTATTTGGTTGTGTTGTCAAGGAACATGAAGATAAAGTCTTGAAATTGAAGAAGACGCTATATGACTTGAAGCAAGTGCCTAGAGCATGGTATAGCCGGATTGACAAGCATTTTCAAGATCATGGATTCATCAAATGTCCTCATGAGTATGCTCTTTAAGTAAAAAAGAATGCATATGGAGGTTTTTTTATTTTGTGCTTGTATGTTGATAACTTGATCTTTACTGGTAACAATGAAAAAATGTTTGAAGAATTTAAGAAAATGATGGCTTAAGAATTTGAGATTACCGACATTGGGTTCATGTCCTACTACCTCGGAATTGAAGTAAAACAAAATGGAGATGACATTTTTATTTTTCAAGAAGCTTATGCAAAGAAAGTTCTTGAAAAGTTCAAAATACAAAATTGCAATCCAGTGAGTACTCTCATTGGATATGGAATACAAATGTCAAATATGATAAGAGCATGAAAATGGATCCATCTTTCTATAGACAGCTTGTTGGAAGCTTGAGATATTTGGCGTGTACAACACCCGATATTTTTTATGGTGTTGGTCTTGTTAGCTGTTATATGAAGGCACCAACTTTAACTCACATGGAGATTACTAAAAGGATGCTTCGCTACATTAAAGGTACTCTTGATTACGGCTTAATTTATTCTTCTTCTAAAAATTTCAAGCTTCATGGTTATAACGATAGTGACTGGACTAGTAATATTAATGATCGAAAATGCACCACAGGATTTTTGTTATTCGTGGATAACAGTGCTTTCACTTGGTGTTCAAAGAAGTAGACCATTGTGACTCTTTCTACTTGTGAAGCTGAATATGTTTCCGCTGTATCATGTGTTTGTCATGTCATTTGGCTACAGAAGTTATTGGAGATGCTTCATATCCCCAAAACGAAGTTACATCAATTTATGTTGATAACAAGTAGCTATTGCTTTGGATAAAAATCCCATGTTCCATGATCGAAACAAGCATATGAATATGAGATCTCACTTCATTAGAAAGTACATTAAAAACAAATAAGTAGAGCTTGCTTATGTGAAGACCAATGATCAAGTACCAGACATTTTCACCAAGTCATTGAAGAATGATGATTTTGCAAGATTGCATACTTGGATTGGAGTCACCAAGAAGGAATCAAGTTTAAGAAATGGTGAAAATTAAACTTGATTCATGAATGTTGGAGATTAATTTTGATACATGAATTAGTTTATTTAATATTCATGTATTTTATTTTATTCATATATCCACATGGTTCTTTGCATTCTATTATTCATAGTATGTAGAAGAAATCATTAATTAGTCTCTTGATTATATACAATATATTTGAGACCCTTTGTACCTATAAAAGGCCTTGTGTTTGATACATTTCATATAGGCAAGTAACATAATACATATATCTTTCAAAAAATTTGTGTTTTCTGTCTAACCTTTTATCTAAAAATTATTTATTTCCAACATTAATTATGGCACACAACTCTTCCTTCCATTATCACTGCCTAATCCACAGACTCCCAAGAATTAAAACCCACCGCCATTCATTTCATTTCAGTGATACCACCTTTAAAGGAAAAAATAATTTCTCCTAAGATATGGAAATTAGGTATCCCCCAAAAGAACTTTAACATGTCATTCTGACTTGACAATTTATGCAAAGTCTTCTTTTTCCTTTTCACATTTTTCTATGGAAAAACCTGTTCAAACAAGGCCACATCGGACTTGTTCGAATAGGGGGCGATGTGGCGTCCTAGACGGACACGACCGACGTAGCCCTGTTCGACTAGCAAAACACTTTTTCTATTTTTTTTCCTTTCTTTCTTGTCTGTTGCCCCTCTCCCAGTACCTAGTCAGAAGTGCATGTTGAGATTATTCATTTTGAGTTGTCATTAGATTTTAGTGATGGAAACAAACAATACTGATATTGTTGATCTTTGCTCATCACTGGCTGCTCTAATATGATATAGTCCTCATGCATCACACAGACTATTGGATTCAACTCAGTCTCATGCTGAACAATCTATTTAGGATTTGTTTGAGCCCCAATTTTTGGAAAAATAGATTTTATAGTGGTGATTTTTAGAATGTGGGATTAAAATATAGAGAAAAAATTTAGATTTGTGTATAAAATTATTTTATTGGGAGAATATGTGGTTGGTAATGTGTCTGGTGAAAAATGAATTTTTTAAAGAATGAAGTTCAAACATGGGCTTAGTTTCCATCTGAATCATCCTTTCCTGTGTTTTGCATCTAAACTTAATATTTGGAAAGATAATTATTAGAAAATAGTTTAACAGTGAACATGAGATCTCTCACTTGAGCACATACAGATTGAGTGCAGATTGTATTCTTGAATCTCTATGGAGGGATTCCATGTTGTAACTTGTTCGTTATAAACAAAATTAAGTAGCATGAGTGACGTGCTTGACATTTTAAGAAGTAGTACGAGCATGTTTTTCGAGCTTAGAGGCTTCGCCTTGCTTACAATCATGTCTCGCTACAGGCCGCGGAAATTCAAAATTTTTTTTTTTTTTTTTAATGCTTGCCATGAAAAGTTGCTAAAGATTAATTAATGGATGTACCTATATCCTTTGTCCTCTATATATAGGATCTAAACTTGCTGATATTGGTCCCCCCGAGCATAGCCAGTGGTGTAAAGGATAGGAGTGAAGTTATCTTATGTCTCGCTGGCAACCGAAGTGTGGGGGTTCGATTCCTGAGACATAGAATTGGACTCCTTATAAGCGCAGTGTACAGACAGCTTTTATTTCCTGACCTGTTAAGACACATCCCACAATTTACCTTCCTCATAAAACTCTAGGGGCGGAGCAGTGGGGACCCTCAAGGTTGGGGTTCAACCTTTTTAAACTTGCTAATATTGCCTTGAGGTAGTAACTTATAAGAGGATGTGCGTCCCTATTCATCTCTAAATTTTGGAATCATATAGAAAGTTTTGTCTCTTTATAGTGTTGAGAATTAGAAACTCTACTTTTACTATTAAGCGCAATAAAATTGCATAAAAAAGAGACATAAGATTTATAGAGTTTTATCTCAATTTGAAACTACGTTCTCTTTCATACTTGCAATAATTTACTATGAGAAGAATTTTGTTTTACCAAAAACATAAAATAAAAAAATGCGCACCCTATCTTCTCTACTCCCTCCCCTCTTTTTTTAATGGTAATCTGAAATTCTAATGATGGTTTCCAATTTATAAGACAAATTAGACCAAAATAGAAATTATAAATGTGAAAATTTTAAATTATCTTTAATGAAATTTTACAATGTCCGCACCCAGAGAGGATGGCTTCTTTTAGCACAATGTCTTGTTCTGATTCAATAAAGAAAAAGTATGTGACCGCCTAGTGCCGATGGCCACAAAGCCAAATATTTGCCTAACCCGTAATATTATTTTGTAATGGGTGGTTTTTAAGACTAAACATAGAGTGAACATGAATTTGTGACTTTGAACAAAAGTATATAGAAAATTATATAATTGCAAGTGGTTAAAATAATGAATAATGTTATTTATAGTGAAAATTATCGGTAGTCGCCCTACGTAATATATACATAACAATTTATTATTTGATACATTAATATGGTAACTTTTTTGCCTTATACATTATTCTAAAATAATAAATGTGATCGAATTAATGGTAAATTTATTAATTGTGAACGTCTTACATTTGTAATTAAGATCTCTCTCTCTCTCTCTCTCTTCAAATGACTTTAAGAGGGGACCCGATCATTTCAATTAATTTAATTAAGTTTTCAATTATTTAGAATAATTAGATCCCTAAAATCTGATTTCTCAAAATTTTTATTATAAACCTGAGTTTTCAAAACAAAAAATTAATAAGGGCTATAATTTTGCTTATATGATACAAAGAAGAATTGGACTCCACCCAACAATTTCCAAGCCCATTTGATACCAAATAACTTAGGATTTTATTATTATTTTCGCAATATATTGCCCATTCAAATACTAATTGTTCATTAACATGTACTCTTATCGAGAGAATATCACATAAAATAATTGTCATTTTTTATCCATGGGCATATACTTGACAAGTGAGTAGTCATATCTTGAAATTTTCAAATGATGCATATTAAATATACAATGCATCAAATCATTATTGAAACATGTCTTTGTTGAGTCGAATATCGTTGTATTGTATTGATCTTTTATATATTAGGATCCCGCTTGTCGATAGTTAAATTCTTCACCACATTGCTTGACGAAAATTGTAGCCTCACGTGCACAATTTCAACGACAAGTAATTGTACATCCATACAATAAACTATCTAAGGAACAAATAACCTTACCCGATGATTACAAGAGTCATGTTGTATTGACAAACATATTTGATTGTGCCTAGTATTATTTTTGAATTTCTTATTATGTCAAGTACGATTTCGAAGTTACTTTGTTATTAATTTCCCAAAGTCACGAACTATCACGTGCCTATTCCCCGAGAAAGATATTTTCTTGCACTGCATCAAAAACGTTAAACTGAAATCTGGATTTCAGTTGAGGTTCAGAATCAGACAGTTTAAAGGCAGACAGCAATGGTAGTAACCACAACCTTAGCATCCTCAAATACAATTCTTCCAACACCCCACAATTCATCTGCTTCTTTATCCTCTTCAAATCCCCAATCTGTCCATTTTTCTCCCATTAATCGCCGTGAACTTGTGACTTCACTGTTCATCACTATCTCCCCATTCTTTGCAGCTCCTCAAGTTAACAACCCCACAAATGCAAACCCATTTTCCTTGCCACTATCAGAAGCCCGTGGCCTGTTTCAAATGCCCCCTGTTCGTCTCACTAACAGGTTAGTAGTTTATATACACGGATTTCTTGATTATAGCCACTATACAGGTTAATTTTATGGGAAATTTTGTACGTAGAGCAAGAGTCGCTTACTGTACACGAAATAGCAATTTTATAAGAATTGTAATGAATTTAATTGAATCTTATTGTTAAATCTTAGCTTTTGGTAAGGCCAAGGTCTAGCTCAAGTAAGAGTGAAGCCTTCCCATGCCAATGTGACTTTGTTCGAGCCTCCTTCTGGGGATGGGTGAAGTCGTTTGATCCCCTTTAAAATAGGGGAAAAAAATGCTTAGCTTGCGGAATATCATGCTTTAGCATCCTATTTTAGAGGTCAGTTATCTATTAGAGCACCCTTTTGGGTGCCAAGGGAAGATTTATATTGTGGACTTATAACCACTACTTTTATGACCTAACGGAAATTAGTGCAAAGAAATGTGCCTAGAACTCGTTGATTTTGGGAATACATGAGAATTTAGGAAATGAGTAGTTCAGTGATCCGCAATCGAATACTAAATAGTAGATCTAGATCGACAAATTTGATGACTCAAAGTTGAATACTGAGATTGGATAGAAAATTGGAGATACTCAGAATGCAATGCCCTTAACAATAGCTTAGGCCGATCATTTATACACACTGGAGCCCAACATCTCTTATTGAAGAAATAAGGTGGGAAAGCATACAAAGAGGAATTCAAAATTAATAAAATAATATGGGGTTCACTACTGCAGACAATAAAGCAATAACAAGAATATTTGATGGGATCCATTAGCAATCTGGTGGTCTTGCTGCTTAATCACATATCCAGACTTCGCTCCATTGAATGTTTAATCTCCAATATTTTTGAGCATTTATAGAAAACCAAAATGTCTTGATTGTAATCTTTTTCATCTTGCAATAAGTTACTGATGAATGTGGATTTAAGGTTGTGACTCGTTTGCGGGGGTTTGTGCAGGTACTATTTGGTGAGAGCAGGGGAGTCAGAATACGAGAGTTTGGGGATAATTAACACAAATCCAGTGGCTAAGACATCAGTGGATAATGGGTTATCCGAGATGGGAAAGAAGCAGGCAGTGAGGGCTGCATTGACATTGAAGTCAATGGGAGCATGTGAAGGTAAGTAAAGTGGATCGAAAATTTCAAAAAAAAGGTTTTTTTTTTTTTTTTTTTGGTAAACTTATTTGAGGTTAAGCTCTACTGACTGGATTTTCCTCTACTTAAAGTTGGAAGTGGAATACTTTTACTTGGCAAGAAAATGGTTCTGCAGAAATCTTATTTTTCGGTCGAGTTTTTCTTTCTTGTTAAGAATAATAAGTAAATATTAAGTTACTTTCATATATTGGTGTAGCCATATAGTCCCAGAATACAGCTTCTTGGATGCTCGGGGATTGGGAGCGTATGAGGGAAAGAAATTGGATTCCATATCTGAGGTAACAATTAGAATGTATTAATACGAGAATCGTATTTGACATTATAAATTTGTGGCGGTTATCAGTTTATTCATAATGTTTTGCTCATACTGCTAGTTTTAGAATGAAGCATCTAAAAGTATTGTAGAAGTGTTAGTGTATGTTTGGCAAAGCTTAATTTTTTTTAATTGCTTATAAGCTGTGGATCCTACGTAATAAACTTAGATATGTAAAGTTGTCTTCTTGAAAACTGGCTTTAGGTCTATGCGTCAGATAGCCTCTCCCCGAATACTAAGCCACCTCCAATTGATGACGGAACGCCAAATGAAAGTGTTTCAGATGTGTTTGTTCGCGTGACACAACTTATGTCGATTCTTGAGACTCAGTATTCTGGGGACACGGTCATTATAGTTTCTCCGGATTCTGATAACTTGACAGTGCTGCAAGCTGGCTTAGTTGGACTGGATCTTCGAAGGTAAGTGACTTGTGAATCTTGAATTTGTCTTAATGTATTGCTTTCGGCTTACATAAATTTGTCCCTGATATCGATTTTGCAGGCACAGAGATCTTGCTTTCGTGCCCGGTGAAGTCAGATTCGTCGATCCTAGTAGCATTCCAGCGTACAAGCAACCAGCATCTGCAGTGTATAAATGTTTAAATCCCCCAAACTGTAATTGAAACTCTTTCCTGTTAATATGATTTTATGCAGTATGATGATGATCCTTGTACATTCTGTCTTGAAGAAATATTCTTAAAAGTTCCTTCTATGGTTCTTCATTTGCTAAAAATTTTCGATAAAACTTGATTTGTTAAAATTTCTTATATTGATACAATAGACACACACGTGTGCACACTTTGTACATGTCTTGCATGTAGTATTGGGTTGTCAGACGTAAAAGATCTTAACACTTTTTCTTCTTTAATGGTGTCTAATCATATTTAATACTGTGCACTAAATATGCCCTTGTACAGATATTTCATAAAAAAGGATTATTATAATTGATGTGTCTATCTTATATATGGTCTTTTGATCTTCTCTAATGCCAAGGCAACATAATTGAGAACATATTTCCGGCCTCTTATTGTTTAATTAGATGCGACTGTGTGAATTTAACGAATGTTATCTCACAAAAGAGATTTACTTATAAGTTCACTAATATAGTGAGAGGAATATAAGTGGTGTAATCCTAAGTGTTTTTATCGATATGTGGAGATATTTGACTTTTTTGCATTTGTGTTGATTCTTCTTGAGTAATCTCAATGTGATTTATTTTATTTTATTTTATTTTATTTTATTTATTTCTCCCGAGACAGCGTCATATCTATCTTTATTGTAACAAGCCTTTTGTCGATTATTTATGAACTTCCACTGAAAAGATGTCAACATATTTGGGTTTGAGTCTTTATTTTATGTGGTCCATCAAAAGTATTGGTCCTTCTATCGTCATTCTGGAAATGAACTTTTTTTATTTTTTAGTTGGTCCATTTTGATGGTGGCTCACTCTACTTTGATGACATTTTCCATTTCTTAGTATCTACGATGTATTTGGGCAAATTTGGCTTTTTAGTGACAGAAATTGGTCCTAAGTTAGGCCAGCAAACGATGTCTTCAAAGATTTGATTATTCAAATCTTTTTAAATCCTTCTATTAATGAAATTTAGAATAATTTTTAAAATCTATCACAATCTCAATGGAGAATACTCCATTATCTTGCACTTGTGAATTTTTACGATAGATTCAATTAAAATGATTTTCATTAATATGTTAGTTGTTAATTTTTTAAGTTTTTAATATGCTGTGAAATCTTGAGCCAATCTTGAATATAGGGTGAGAACTTTAAAATTTAAATTAGGTAAAAATGGGAAAAAAAAAATGCAATTTTATACAACATGTTGATTTCAAATGAAATCAAAGCCAACTCAAGAACCAAAGTAAAACAATTGTACTTGAATTTTTTTACGATATTCATGATCTATTAAAATATCATGAAAGATGAATATAGGGGTGTTGAGCGAGATGAGTCAATTGAACTCAAGATGATTTAGATTTTGCTTGCGAGCTGATGACTAGAGAAAGACTTCAATATGATAGTTCTATTTACATAGTGGAAAAACTGGCCATTTAGATCATGACACATTGGATATTGAGCCATTTAAATTACGACACATTGGCATTAGAAATAATAAACAAGAAAAAAAAAGGTGGATCTCATATGCCAAGATATCATGATTTGAATGGATTGTGATCTAAGGTGTCATAATCAAAATGACCAATCCTACTACCTGCGCTTATATAACTATATTACCGTAACCTTTATCCTCAAGACAATACGAAAATATCCATCAAATATTTTTAAATTGGCTGCTTGCGCCTTGTTATTTTGAATTCAATTTCTTAAATTTAAATTTTATGGTTTAAGAAAGAAAAAACCTTCAAGTTAGAAATTTTCCATTTAAATATTGTTAACCTTCAAAACTCTGCAAGATACAACTATCAACATTAGGCTGGATGCAACCGTTCGTGGACAATCCAACATTCAAGATAGACTGTGGAAGGATAGTGGATGTAGGAAAGATACCATGAACAAAAATGCTATACTAGTTGAAGAGAGAGTTATTGATCTTCTATTACCTTTAGATTTCACCTTATCGTAAAGGGTCACAAGTCAAACCCAATTTTATCAATCTGTAACTGTCTATTGTATCAACTCATAGTCGTTATGGGCCTCTGGCTTCCCTAGCAAAAAGCAGAGGTTGAAAAGTTTTGATTGAGCGGCACTATTATGGAGCCGATCGATCATATGTACGTACTGTATAATTGTTATTTGGTTGAGGCAACACTTATGGAAGATACCCATTACAAAAAATGTCACTCTTTTTGAAATTGTACTACAATAGAAAGTTGATGCCACATCTTAAATTTTAACATTTTAGACAATGCTTCTGTTCTTCCTGAATATCCTGATTCAACGCTAAAGAATTTCTTGCCGTTACCATATAATATTCATTTCTACCTGGTGATAAATAAAGTCGTACTCTTGTTGATCTTTCAAAAATTTCATAAAATGGGCTTTCTAAAGATCCCCATTGCTAAGGATCCAATAAGTCCAAAAATTTCCTAGCATGAATTGCTAAGGATCCAATAAGTCCAACATTGATTCCCTCAGATGTGTCAATTGGGCAAATACGCCCATAGTGACCAGGATGGATATTTCGTATCCAAAAACTAGTAATAAAGGCATGGAATAATCAACTCGATGGGCACATGTCGAAGAGGCGATGCCAAAATGGAGTACCAACCTTGCTTTTTCTTTAGCTTTGCTTCTGGCTTAACTATTTGCCACTTAACCTGTCTTACATACAAGTGTAACAAAATACTAAATTTTCGTTTCAAGGTTTTGCACATTCTCTAACTTCATATTCAAGTATCAATATTTATGTAGCTTCATTTGAATTTTCTCAATCACTTTGAAATGGTGGTTTTCATCCCAAGATAACATCGGTTGTTCAATGTAATTTTCAATGAAAATATAACCAATGAAGTTTCCGATTCCCTCTTTAGGGGCCCTATTAATTGGGATGAAAACATTAATGTAATTCAACGGATAATTATTATACCTGACATAATGCTTGATCCAAACAAATCATTAGATCATCGGGTTACTAGTTCAATCGGTGAATTAGTAGTTGAACTGGATGTTAAAAGGATATAATCTCACATCAAATAAAGATGAAAATATAGACCAATTTATAAGTCTTGAGCTACTTCTCTTAACAAGATTGACATTTTAAAATGAAATCACAAATCTTAACGTGGTATCAAAGCTCATTAAACTCCAACGAGCGATTTGATTAACACTTAATAAATGAGCATATGGATTTTAAGATTGATCTGCTCAAACGAGTTATCATCTTGCAGGGCATGTTAAGAGATATAATCTCACATCAAATAAAGATGAAAATATAGATCAACTTATAAGATTTTGGACTACTCATCTTAATAATGTTGACCTTTTAAAATGGAACCTCAGATCTTAACATTGGAGGGTCACTGTTGAGCTATAAATTTAATCTAAAAAATTCTATTGCACAAACTTATGATGTAATAAATGACCATATGTGTAAAAGTATCAATTGAATTCCATAAAAAATGTAAGTTTAGTTTGTTAAAATTTTACTTCGTTGAATAAATAATTTTAAGCTTATGCTCAATTATCAAGATAGATAAAGATACCATGTTTGTATTTTACATATTATAAAGATACAACACAAAGTTTTTTTCTAGCACAGTGGTATCAACCTCATTTAGGACAAAAACAATTAGTTAAAAAATAGATTAAAAGTAGGCCTATGAGCGACTTATCCGCCAATATCCTAGATGGTAGGACCAGTCCAATCAGCATTTTTTATTTTATTTTTTTAAAAATAAGTTAGCCCATTGTCGACAAATCCCAAAGCGAAGACAAGGCAGCTCATATCTGCTTGATTCGACCCATTTCACACTTAGATGTACAATTTTTTTACGACAGATTCCCCTTTATTCATGGTCTATTTACAATATTCCATCATGAAAAGACTTGACATAAACAATAAAGATATAAGCAACTCGACCAAAGACTTCAACTTTAGCCATCCACGACAACAACATAAGTTCTACTTGTCACCTTAGGGTTATAGTGCCACCATACAATTCATTTTATTGCTTTGCTTTTTTATTGTACAAAAAGTTCATAATCTTTCTTCTACTTTTTTCTTTTTTTCTTTTATCGTCTTCGCACCCGTTTTTTCATTTGTCATGATGGTTCTATTAAAGTAATTTGAATGAAAGATATATCACTTTTGTATTTATTATTTTTCAACTTCTTTTTTAAACTTATAAGAAAGTAAATAAATCTTTTTATAACTTTTTAATATATATATATATATATATATATATATATATATATATATATATATATATAATAGAATGTTGATAATAAGAATGTTGCGATAAAGGATTAAAATATAAGACTATGTTTGAGCTCCATTATTTGAAACAATAAATTTTTTAATAGTGATTTTTTAAGAGAACGTGTGGTTAAAAAGTAGGAAATTTTTTTAATTTAAATGTAAAATTATTCTTTTTTAAGAATGTATTATTAAAAATTAATTTTGGAAAAAATGAAATTCCCTATATTAGAGCTTAAACATGGGCCAGATATGATAATAGTTGAAGTTAAATTTTTTTAGCACAATTATAAATGGTAGATGTGCTGACATAGTAATATTAAAAGAAAAAAAAATGAAAAATATCTCACTTTGATGCTTTTGAAAGTCTTGCAAAGAATGAAAAGAATGAGGATATTTATATAGTTCAAAATGCTAAAAGAATCCATAAGATCGAATGACATATCCTGTTGATCGCCTCTTGTTCATTAATATAGGTGTTTGTCTAGTAAAAACCAGATATTGGAACAATCAAATTTTGGACTGTTGAAAATTTTCGATCAACCTCCCTGCAATTTTGGTCTTTTTACGTTTTGCCCCCATTTGATCCGATTCGAAGGTGTTGAAAAGCGTGGACTTTTGAATAGTGTTTTTAACTAGCTTTTCAATATAAAAGATTTTTAAAATTTAAATATCATTTTAAAAGTTACTTTTATATTTTATCAAAACATTGGATCAAAATAACCTTTAATGCATAAAAGGATTTTGAGCTTAAATATTCATTGCTAAATATCAAAGTATTAGTACCTTTATACTTGATCTAAGAAATTTAATCTTTGATCTTGTTTCGA